ACCCCCGCCCCAGATCTGGCAGTGTGGGGGGCGGCTGTACGACGCCCCCTGTTCCCGGGTGGGGCACGTGTTCAGGGGGGGGCGCTCCAACCGACCCGCGGCTAAGAAGGGGGACTTCACTAACAGGGTACGTAGTTTTTATTATAAAATTTAATCATGTATATTATAATGCCTTTCAATATAATCATGTATAATAATATATACAAAATACCTAAAGCGTTGTTTTTTTCATGTACAATATTATATTTTTAGTTTAATTATTTAATTAATTAAAATATACAAATGCCTGAAACATCTCTTATAAAACAAGTCATTTTAGTTCAGTGCTGAATAATTAAGTGTGGCAAATACGTTCTCAGTTCGTCATAGTGTTTTATGTTGAACATGATTCATCAAAAAGTTTATATAATACAAGCCGAATTCATCAAAAAGTTGATGATATACTAGCGTAATTCATAAGAAAAAGTTTATAGAATACAAGCCCAATTCATTGAAAAGCTTTAAAAATAAAAGCCCAATTCACCAACGAGTTTAGAAAATACAAGCCTAATTCATCAGAAATTTATAAATTACAGGACTAATTCGCGAAATTTCATTGTACTGAAAGATAATTTATGAACTCGCTATATGTACGCGGCATCGTATATAATATATGATATAATATAACATACAATTTATTTATAATTTGTGTAATTATATAATGAATCAAATATAATTTATTCGAAGTATTATTTATTGAATATGAAGAACTACAAGCGGGTTGAGACGTGAAGTAGCAGCTCGTACTCAGAGATAATAAGTAAAATATAATTTTTCTAAAATATATATTATTAATTATACACACATAACTGCAAGCAGGGTATTATATTGTATTAAATATTATCATATTACATTATTGTTCACACGGAACTACAAGCGGGTTATTATATTATATTTTGCTCATGGATAGCGTGGATATCACACTTGCTCATGGATAGCGTGGATATCACACGTCCATGGATAGCGTGGATATCACACGTCCATGGATAGCGTGGATATCACATTCGCTCATGGATAGCGTGGATATCACACTTGCTCATGGACAGCGTGGATATCACACTTGCTCATGGACAGCGTGGATATCACACTTGCTCATGGACAGCGTGGATATCACAGCAATTTCCGTCCCTCAGGTTGGTCCCTTCCCGGACTCTAAGGTGCCTGAGGGCGTCCAGCTCGAGCTTGTGGACTACCACGACTACGAGCAGGTCAAGGTGGGTCAAGGGTCAAGGTGGGTCAAGGGTCAATGTGGGTCAAGGGTCAAGGTGGGTCAAGGGTCAAGTTGGGTCAAGGGTTAGTAATGCGTCAAGGTGGGTCAAGGGTCAGTAATGCGTCAATGTGGGTCCATGGGTAGCACACAAGGCGGGTCAAGGGTCAAGGTGGGTCACGGGTCAATCATGCGCTAAGGTGGGTCACGGGTCAATCGTAATGACGGGTCACGGTGANGGAAAATTTATTTGTGAATTTGATGTGCTTCCTGATGATGTTCTAACATTTGATATTGTTTTAGGTTTAAAATTTCTTCAATTTAGTAACATAAGTGTTAACATGTCCAAACGCATTGTTTCTAGAGCTGTCTCTTATACACATCTAGATGTGTATAAGAGACAGCATGTACACAGTGTAAAGTCTATGAATTTAACGGCGAAAATTACTGTCTTGTTTTTATCCTCCGCAACAAAGTGTACTACCGAACTAGACGATCACACAAGGCTTTTATGAAGTGGTAGCCACGTATAGACTGCGGCGACGTGTGCGCCACGACAACTGACCCCATGTTTATCGCAGAGGGACAAGGCGCGGGTGGGGTTGGGGGAACAAGGCCGTCCAGCCAAAGTCCCCCCGGGGAACAAGGCTCTGGAGGATAAGCTTTACCTCGACAACGGCTTCAACGGCCTCCTTAGCGACTACATCGCCCTGGACCGGTCCCTGCCCGACATCCGACATCCTGCGTGAGTATTTAGGTCCCCGCCCGACACCCCGCGTGAGTATTGGTGGTCCCTGCCCGACATCCGACATCCTGCTTGAGTTCAGTGGTCCCTGCCCGACATCCGACACCCCGCGTGAGTTCAGTGGTCCCTGCCCGACAACCGACACCCCGCGTAAGTTCAGTGGTCCCTGCCCGACATCCGACACCCCACTGGTGGGTATTGGTTGTCTTTGGCTTCATATTATTTTATGGTGAGACGTCGCTCGTAATGATCGCTTCTGCCCTGAGTGTCGGAAACTTCTTTCTCTTCATTTGCTGACCATCGCATGCCTTTCCCCGTCCTGTTTCGACCTCTCTCTGCCGTCCACCCTCTGATCCTCTTTCTACGAGGGCCTTCACTTAGAAACACAGAGAACAAAAAAAAGGCCAACCTCTAACATTGGCAATGAAAATTCCTCCACCTAACCACTTCCTTTACCTAACCTCTTAGTTCTTCCACAACCCTGCCGTTCAATTCCCAACCCCAAACATATTGACTCCACAACCAAACTTTCAACCACTTCTACCACCCAAGCATTTGGCTCTTTCACCTTTTAACCACCCAACCACTTGCTTTTCCCACCACATAAGTGCTTGACTTACTCCCCAAGCAAACTTTCCCAACTAGACCATTCAATTTCTTCACCATCCCGCCACCTATCCACTCAACACTCCCACTACCTAACAACCCCCTAAACCTCCCCATCACCTAACAACCTCTCAACGCTCCCACTACACCCAACCATCCAGCTTTCATCCTATCCCCCAGCTGCGCCTCCTATAAGTACTACAAGAACCTCCCCACGACCAGCGTCGTGATCCCATTTTTCGAGGAGTCGCTGTCGGCGCTGCAGCGAACCATCGTGTCTGTCGTGAACCGCACCCCGGCCCACCTCCTCAAAGAGATCATCCTCGTGGATGACGGCAGCTTTAAGAACCGTGAGTGTGACATTTGAGAACCGTGTGAACCGTTAGTATGGCTCCTGAGAACCGTGGGAACCGTGAGAGTGGCACTTGCGAACCGTGAGTGTGGCTCTTGAGAACCGTGTGAACCGTGAGTGTGGCACTTGCGAACCGTGAGTGTGGCACTTGAGAACCGTGTGAACCGTTAGTGTGGCTCCTGAGAACCGTGAGTGTGGCACTTGCGAACCGTGAGTGTGACACTTAAGAACCGTGCGAACCGAGAGTGTGGCACCTGCGAACCGAGAGTGTGGCACCTGCGAACCTGTTAACCATGTGAACCGTGAGTGTGGCATCATCGAACCGTGCGAATCGTGAATTTGGCACTTGCGAATCGTGAGTGTAACACTTGCGTGCCATGTGAACCGTAAGTGTTGCACTTTCGAACCGTGTGAAGCCGTGAATGTGGCACTTGTGAACCATAAAAACTTTGTGTACCCTGAGGGCAATCCTTGAGAACCGTGACTGTGAACGGTGTGAACCGAGAAAAACGTCAGCACTGTGAACCACCATTGCAGCAAATATTCTCACAAAAAGTGTGAACCCCGGGAACCCAACCTCTACGTACCCTCTGCAGCGGACCTTAAGGCGCCCTTAGAGGCGTGGCTGCGCGCCTCGGCGCCCAAAGCGCGCCTGCTGCGCCTGCCGGAGCGCGAGGGCCTCATCACGGCGCGCATGGCGGGGGCCAAGGCCGCCATTGGTGACGTCATCGTCGTCCTGGACAGCCACTGCGAGGTGCTGGTCAACTGGCTGCCGCCACTGCTGCGTGAGTAGTAAGCCATGTGGCTGCCGCCACTGCTGCGTGAGTAGTAAGCCATGTGGCTGCCGCCACTGCTGCGTGAGTAGTAAGCCATGTGGCTGATATTCGGCTGAACTGTTATGCGAATTAGGTTGCAACTGAAGGTAGAGTTAAGGTTCGAGCTGAAGCATGGTAAAGAGTATAATTTTAGTAATGATGTTGGAGGTAATTAAAATGAAAGTTGTAACCCCATATGTTCATCCCTATACCCATCCTTCTCATCTCCCTCCTCCACAGGCCTAACCTAACAACATCCCTCTCCCAGACTCCCTCTAACTCCACCTCTCACCCCACTGACCCATCTTAACCTCTAGACCCCTCCTCGCCCCACACTTCCCACAGACCCCATAACTACAAACCCCCCTTCACTCCCCAGTATATCCCCTCGAGACCTCTCTTAACCCCCAGCTTACCCCCAGACCCCATCGTGGAGGACCACAGAGTGGCCGTGTGTCCCCTCATCGACGTGATCGCGTGGGACACGTTCGCCTACCACGCGCAGGACGACGGTGCACGGTACACAGCATCAGAAATTACAAGTGATAAACTTCCTGATAAATTATTGATCTGCAATTTAACGTATAATTCACATACCGCTTGACACACGACGTTAGCCAGCGAGAAACCGCCATACCGAACAGTGCCGATATCTAAAATTACAGAGAGAAAATGTGACATAAAGGGTAGCATGAGACAGGCAAAACTTACAATAAAACAATACACACAAGATATTAAAATAATGCCTTGAAACATTCTTTACGTTATGTCACAGGGGGGCGTTCGACTGGAATTTCTTCTACAAGCGCATCCCTCTGGCGGCCGACGTCGCGGCCACACTACCTCGCCCCTTCCAGTGAGACCCGTGATGTGTTTTGTTGCGATGTGTTGTGCTGTGTTGTGTTGTGTTCTGCTGTGCTGAAGAGACTTTTTTGTCCGACCACCGACTGGTGATGGTGGATACGACAATTGGAAAATGAAATCATACGACGACAATACCCCAAGAGAGACCGGCAGGACTCGACTTCCACCATCAGGAATCGATTGGAAATCTGAGTTTCGTGTGAAGAATGCAGATGAAATGTACATAAAATCTTGCGCGACGCAAGTGTGTGTACGTCATACCAAGGGGAGAACGAGCCCTAAAGTTCGCAGCATTCCGAAAGACCGACGAATAATAATGAAAATACGCGCGCGATTAAATAAACTAATAGCTTTTTCCACTAGTGATCTGGGGAGAGAGAGACTAGCGGATCTTCACGAGGAAACCGAATGCAGGTTGAAGAACCCGCACAAGACGGAAGATCAAGCTGCTGAGGAGCGAGTGGTTGAGGTCACCAGAGAGAACCCCAAGTATTTCTTCAAGTACGCACTAACCAAGACTTAAAAGTGCCAGTGGGCCCACTGGAGGATAACGATGTCCTCGTTGGAGGCGACCAGATAATTTGCGTGTAACTACAGGAGCGCAGAATCAGTTTTCAGTAGCCCCCACTACTAGAGAATGAAATGGAAGTCCTCCAGGAGCTTCCAGGCAAAGTGGGCTGGAGTTCATCGAGTTTGGAAAAGAAGACACCTGTAGAAGCATCAAGGAACTGGTAAAGTTTTCAGCACCAGGACCGGCAGTATTGCTAAAGAAGTGTGTCGGAGCATCGAAAGAGCCGCTCACAATGCTCTGGAAGCAGCCTATTATTTTTCATGAGGGAATTATTCCTGAGGGCCTCAAAGTGGGACTGATAACGCCTATTCACCAATGAGGCCCGAGGGACAGGCTCCAAAATTATTTACCTGTGACCCTGACCTCCCAGTTAAGTGATCAAGATATTTTAGAAGATGTTGGCCAAGTGGCTTGTCCAGTATGCATAAGAGGCTGAACTGTTTAATAATGGCCAACATGGTTTCCGGCGAATCCGTTCCTGTTAGTCACAGTTATTGGACTCCCATCACCGCCTTGTGACCATGGGTTCGGGTCGCTGGTTCGGGTTTGGTTCAGTACTTTGCACAGGGACATTTGAAAACTCTTTAACCTGATTCAGAGTTATACGTTGAAAAAATAAATAATAGATAAAATAAAATATAAATATAATATAAATATAATAGATATATTTATATTATATAATATAATATAAATAATATATATAATATAAATATAATATAAAAAATATAATAGATAAAGAATAAAATAAAATAACTATATCAGCCAGCGAGGATAATAAATAATTGATTTAATCATATAATTAATTAAATATAATTTATTCGACGTGTTAATTATTGAATACACTCAGAGAATTGAGTGAAATTTGTCCAAATAACGATGTATTCTTTATCCCTATGTGAGTCTTCCTGTCCCAGATGGGGTCTAACATTAGGGCAAATCAGTGCTACTTACAGAATAAGTGCTGCTTACATTTCGGAAAATATAACCCAATATATTTGTTTGAGTTGTTGGCTGTTGTTGAGAAGAATTGTAACATTTATTGTACCATATTCTGTGTGTTTTATCTGTGTTTTTTTTTCCGCCTGGCGCACGCTAGCGTTGTACTTAACTATGATTTAGAAACATATATTTTCATTTGATTCATAATGTAAATACTTCGTTTTTGCCCCAAATTATTTCTGTAATGTTAGATTTACAATTTTTTAGTTAGCGGATTTCTCGCTGGCTGACAGAGTTGTACTCTGCAGTAGCGAGAAATCCGCTAACTAAAAAATGGTAAATCTAACATTACTGAAATAATTTGGGCAAAAATGAAGTATTTACATTATAAATCAAAGGGAAATGAATGTTTCTAAATCCTAGTTAAGTACAAGGGTAGCGTGAGCCAGGCAAAAAAAAAACACAGATATAATACACAGAATACGGTAGAAAAATGTTTCAATTCTACTCAACAACAGCCCAGCTGGAGGAGGGAGCTGGCGTGGACGTGGTATACCTAGACTTTGCTAAAGCTTTTGACAAAGTTGACCATGGGGTGCTCTTTAGAAAGCTGAGGCTGTTGGGGGTAGGAGGAAGTCTGTTAAGGTGGATCCACAACTTTTAGCCTAACAGATAGAGTACAAGCTGTCGCAATTGGAAACTCGAAATCGAGAGAAGCGAAGGTGAAAAGCGGAGTGCCACAGGGCTCAGTGCTTGGACCGATCCTCTTCCTCATCCACATTGCCGATATTGACTCAGAACTAACCCACTCATCTACATCGTCATGTGCGGATGATATAAGAGTGCTGATGAAGAACAGACGATCTGGCCTGCGAGAGGTCGTAATACCCCAACACATTACAACAAAAGGAAGGGAAGACTTTGCAGGATTACCCCATTTAATAACCGAGCTTTTGCTAGAGTACAGACTCTTCGTAAAGGATCACTGTCCGTGGTAGGACGAAGACTGTTTAATGCCTTGCCAAAGTAGCCGAATGGAGAGAAGTCAGCCCTTGCACCATTCAAGATACGACAGGATGCATTTTAAGCAAGATCCCTGATCGTCCATTTCTGCTCCTCTGCCCTCAGCAAGTAAAAAGCAACAGCATCTTGCATCAGCTGGCCCAAAGGATGGCAAATAGACGGAACACGTCCAACGTTACATCCGGGACCCGAGGGCGGGGTGACCTGCCTAGCGACGATTCGGAGACGGAGGACGACGAAGGCGGCGCATCAGCGTGACTGAGGACTAATAAGAATGTGACTATCATGTATATGTAGCGGATGTGATGTGAATTTCACATTATGGTATTATTATCGTTCAAATTATTACCATAATCACCCATAGATTACATCATACGAATACTGCAGTTGTGATACAATCATCAGGTAATACTTCAATCTCTCTATAATGATATAATCATTTTTTCTTCATACAATCATCCTTCAACTAATGATGTTCATTCATCACTCGTCAGTGATGCCATCATTCCCTATCTAATGATGCGCAGTCATCACCCTTTGATTATGCCATCATTTCCCCATCTAATGATGCTATCATCATCTAGCTAATGATGTTTTGCCTTCATCATTAAATGCCATCATCCACCAACTAATGATGCACAGTCATCACCTATCAATGATGTCATCATCCCCTATCATCCCCGCCAGGAACCCGGTGATGAACGGCGGGCTGTTCGCCATCAGCCGCGCCTTCTTCTGGGAGCTGGGGGGCTACGACCCCGAGCTGGCCATCTGGGGGGGCGAGCAGTACAACCTTTCCTTCAAGGTGGCCATTGTGGCCATGTGGAGGCCAATTGTGTCAAGATATTTTGGCCAATTGTGGCCATATGTTGGCCGTGTGGTGGCCATTGTGTCTGTGTGGTGGCCATATGGTGTCCATATGGTGTCCATGTGGTGGCCACTTGTGTCATGTGGTAGCCACTTGTGTCCATGTGGTGGCCACTTGTTTTGATATACCAGGATTTTATACCAACTCCTCCCTCTCCCCAGCCCCTCAAGTTTTTATAGATCCACCCCCTAAGTGTGTAGCTTTTCGGACAAAACGACCCAACACATTTCTTTTAGTGTACGCAGAAGGACAAGCGGGTTGAGGTAGCAGCTCGCGCTAAGGAACAATTAGTAAAATATTATTTATTCAAAATATATCATTAATTATACTGTCCCGGAGGCACGTTTATGCGCCTCCAGACTTATATATTTCTACCAGAACCTGAGGACAGGGATTCGTTTACTAACTGCGTGAGGGATAAGTAAGACGCTATCTGTCTAGATAACTTATCATGATAAGGGGTGGTTATAAATGAGAGTTACAGTACAGTATACGGGGTAGTAATACATGAGTTACAGTACAGTATACTGGGCGGTAATACATAAGTTACTGTACAGTATACGGGGTGGTAATACATGAGTTATATTACAGTATACGGGACGGTACTACATAACAGTTACTGTACAGTATACGGGATGGTAATACAAGTGAGTTAAATTAGAGATATAAGAGTAGGACGTCGACCGTTAGGTCGGAGTAGCTCTAACGCGAGTTACATTGCGGCGCGCTCGTTAGCTTCTGCGGGGCCTTACTAAGGTTCCCAGCCCTTTTATATAGTCACGGCTTCCGCCCACTACTGAGGTCTTGGTCGCGTGATCTGTTACGTGATGTTGTCCATGCTTACTCAGGTCTATATACTTTTCCATTAATCTCTACAACATCTAATGAATATTACTTCTCAATTATAATGAATAGAGTGAAACGCCTGATTCACACCGGACGACACCCATAACTACAAGCAGGTTATTATATTATATTATATTATATTATATTATATTATATTATATTATATTATATTATATTATATT